CCGGGGCATGAGGAAAGGGGGTTTTTTTTTTAAAAGAAGGGGGGGAAAATAAAAAAAAGCCCCGGTTAAGCAAAAAAAAGGGGGGGGTGGCCTCTCTTTTAAAATTTTTTCGGGAAAAGGGCCTGGGTTTTCCTTTTTTTTTTTTGCGGTTAGGGGTTAAGAGGCCCCAAAAAAAACCCCCCCCCCCTTAAAAAGGGGGGCCCCCCACCCCAGGTTTGGGCCCCCCCCCCCCCCCCCCCCCCCCCCCCCGCTGCTCACCCGCGGCTGGCGATGCCCCCGCAGAGAGGGGTGGAACTCCCCCACCCTCAGCAACGACAACGGCACCCCCGTTTGCCGGTGGCGGCGAGAGTATTTCCGCCGATTGCTGCTGCTGCTGCTGCTGCTGCTGCCCAAGATGTCGACCTGTCAGAGTGTTCACGCGCAGCAAGGACAACGCTTGGTGACTGACGCAAAGAAACAAGAAAGTGACTGGTGTGCAGCAGCAGTACAGTAGTAAGAGTGATTTCAACCGCAGCAAGCAGTGACTGACCAACTTGCTGCAGCGCAGAAGCAGCAGTAGAATGCTACTGCTGCTGTAGAAATGACAAAAAGATGATACCCCTTTCACCGGGGAACGGGAAAGTACCGTAGGTAACATGACGCAAGATACCACACCCCCTAGACCGATTTTCAAAGCTCGATTAGACAACTCCACGACGACGAGGGTGCCAAAATGAAATGAAACGTTTTTCGGAAAGACCTCGACGAGACAGTGGTTCCACCGGCGCCATTTTCGGCATCGCCACTCTTTCTGCTGTGGAGTAATCGAGCTTTTGAAAATCGCTCCAGGGGGCGTGGTATCTTGTGTCATGTCACCTACGGTAGCCATAGCCTCGGGGGCGGTGAGAGGCCGGGGGAGACACACTTTCGCCACACATACATCCGGAAGCAGCGTGACCCCGGGTGCTGGTAGTTGTCTCTCTTGGCACTTGACACGACAAACTACAGCACGTGAATTGAGCGACACAGTGTGAACCTCCTAACGATAAGAAAGCAAGCAGAGAAAACTGCCACCTTCTAAAAAACGACCGCAAACAACCCCCCCCCCTCCTCACCCTCGGCCGAATCTCCCTCGATACCTCCACCGTGAGCGCCTCGCACGGTCTCCCACCCGTGGTGCCGCCGCCGCTGCTGCGGATTGCCGGCAGCAGCAGCAGCAGCAGCAGCAGCCCCTCGCGGCCAGGTGACAGATCGAAACGCGGCGAGGTCCAAGAAAAGCACCGCCTGTTTTTTTTCGGTGGGAATACGACCGTCGAGGTTAACGGCCAGAATCAATCGACGTTTGCGGGTGATTTGGCGCCGGATCGTGTCGGGGCGGTGGCGTTGCCGCAGGGGGGGGGGGGGGGGGGGG